ATGCTCAGCAACTGAGCTAGCCGTAGGATTTGGACTTTTGTCGGAGCGTGCGACATCGCTTTCGAATCTCTCCCAGCGAGCAAATACCTGCAACCGAATAGGTACCAAATCGGTGCGGCGTAGAACGAGTTATAAAAAACTAAGAGTCGATACAACGTACTTGATAGAGGAAGAAGTGGCCGGCAGTTTCGCAAGTGTAAGAAACGTCGCCGGTTACTTCAAGGGCTTCCTGCAGCTTTTCTACCTGCAACAAAAAAGAAGTAAATATGAAGCAAGCGAGCAAACACCACTTTGATGATGAATGGCTAAAGTCCTTATGAAAATCAACGCCAAAGAAACCTCTTTCAAAAGATCGAGTCGCTTCTGTAAAACATAGTTCACGCGTCCATACCTGCTGAAATCCTTTTCCGTCTCCAGAGCCTCTTCACCATGACCTGAAGAAAAAGCAATTCAGAGCTGCATATGCGTGTGCACACACACACACACACACACACATATACACATGCATGAAATAAAGAAAAAATCGAACCCAGTCGGAGCAAATGGCGCTCGTCCACATCCAATGCTATTATTTTCTCAAAAAGTTGATTGAGCGCCTGATTCGAGTGCGTTACAATTAATGTCCTCTGTTCAGGCCAATTGTGATAGATATTGGAAATGATCTGAACTGCCACATCGGTTTTGCCGGTCCCAGGCGGGCCAACAACCATTGTCAGCCCAGGCTGCATCCCCGATTTGATTGCCTCTATCTGAAAAATAATGTTGCTCATCAATTTGCAGCTCAAAACTCTCAAAAATAACGGGAATTTCTGCCTGTAAAACAGTCCTTACTATCTAAGTGTTTTGACCAAGATGAAAATCAAAAAAAAATTACCTGCGCAGGAGTGAAATGTATAGTGTTTTTCCGTGGCTCCACATGAGGATACGGACCTCGACAAGGCAACACGTGTGGCTCCACTACGATCGATGCATCTCTTTGCGATGGCTCGATCCCATGCTGCGGCTCTAATTCTTTGAAAGTGAGCCTAAAATGTGAAGGTTCTCTGCTTCATTCAAAGAAAGTGAGCTTTAGAATTCACTATGGCTGAGGGAACCACCAAGCATCACCAGAAGCCACAATAAGCTGCTGTGGTTGAGAAAATTTTTGATGCACACCTAGCCGATCGGCTTCAGTGAATGCTGAAAAACGAACCTGAACGGTGGAACAAGTTGTTCATCATCTTCTGTTGTTCCAACGATCTTCGTATGTGGGAAGGATAAAACTAAGTGCTTGAAGGACAAAAAA